AACACACAGGCGCCCCCACAGGCCTAACACACAGGCGCCCCCACAGGCCTAACACACAGGCGCCCCCACAGCCTAACACACAGGCGCCCCCACAGCCCTAACACACAGGCGCCCCCACAGGCCTAACACACAGGCGCCCCCCCCTAACACACAGGCGCCCCCACAGGCCTAACACACAGGCGCCCCCACAGGCCTAACACACAGGGCGCCCCCACAGGCCCTAACACACAGGCGCCCCCACAGGCCTAACACACAGGCGCCCCCACAGCCCTAACACACAGGCGCCCCCACAGGCCTAACACACAGGCGCCCCCACAGGCCCTAACACACAGGCGCCCCCACAGGCCTAACACACAGGCGCCCCCACAGGCCTAACACACAGGCGCCCCCACAGGCCTAACACACAGGCGCCCCCACAGGCCTAACACACAGGCGCGCCCCCACAGGCCTAACACACAGGCGCCCCCACAGGCCTAACACACAGGCGCCCCCACAGGCCTAACACACAGGCGCCCCCACAGGCCTAACACACAGGCGCCCCCACAGGCCTAACACACAGGCGCCCCCACAGGCCTAACACACAGGCGCCCCCACAGGCCTAACACACAGGCGCCCCCACAGGCCTAACACACAGGCGCCCCCACAGGCCTAACACACAGGCGCCCCCACAGGCCTAACACACAGGCGCCCCCACAGGCCTAACACACAGGCGCCCCCACAGGCCTAACACACAGGCGCCCCCACAGGCCTAACACACAGGCGCCCCCACAGGCCTAACACACAGGCGCCCCCACAGGCCTAACACACAGGCGCCCCCACAGGCCTAACACACAGGCGCCCCCACAGGCCTAACACACAGGCGCCCCCACAGGCCTAACACACAGGCGCCCCCACAGGCCTAACACACAGGCGCCCCCACAGGCCTAACACACAGGCGCCCCCACAGGCCTAACACACAGGCGCCCCCACAGGCCTAACACACAGGCGCCCCCACAGGCCTAACACACAGGCGCCCCCACAGGCCTAACACACAGGCGCCCCCACAGGCCTAACACACAGGCGCCCCCACAGGCCTAACACACAGGCGCCCCCACAGGCCTAACACACAGGCGCCCCCACAGGCCTAACACACAGGCGCCCCCACAGGCCTAACACACAGGCGCCCCCACAGGCCTAACACACAGGCGCCCCCACAGGCCTAACACACAGGCGCCCCCACAGGCCTAACACACAGGCGCCCCCACAGGCCTAACACACAGGCGCCCCCACAGGCCTAACACACAGGCGCCCCCACAGGCCTAACACACAGGCGCCCCCACAGGCCTAACACACAGGCGCCCCCACAGGCCTAACACACAGGCGCCCCCACAGGCCTAACACACAGGCGCCCCCACAGGCCTAACACACAGGCGCCCCCACAGGCCTAACACACAGGCGCCCCCACAGGCCTAACACACAGGCGCCCCCACAGGCCTAACACACAGGCGCCCCCACAGGCCTAACACACAGGCGCCCCCACAGGCCTAACACACAGGCGCCCCCACAGGCCTAACACACAGGCGCCCCCACAGCCCTAACACACAGGCGCCCCCACAGGCCTAACACACAGGCGCCCCCACAGGCCTAACACACAGGCGCCCCCACAGCCCTAACACACAGGCGCCCCCACAGGCCTAACACACAGGCGCCCCCACAGGCCTAACACACAGGCGCCCCCACAGGCCTAACACACAGGCGCCCCCACAGGCCTAACACACAGGCGCCCCCACAGGCCTAACACACAGGCGCCCCCACAGGCCTAACACACAGGCGCCCCCACAGGCCTAACACACAGGCGCCCCCACAGGCCTAACACACAGGCGCCCCCACAGGCCTAACACACAGGCGCCCCCACAGGCCTAACACACAGGCGCCCCCACAGCCCTAACACACAGGCGCCCCCACAGGCCTAACACACAGGCGCCCCCACAGGCCTAACACACAGGCGCCCCCACAGGCCTAACACACAGGCGCCCCCACAGCCCTAACACACAGGCGCCCCCACAGGCCTAACACACAGGCGCCCCCACAGGCCTAACACACAGGCGCCCCCACAGGCCTAACACACAGGCGCCCCCACAGGCCTAACACACAGGCGCCCCCACAGGCCTAACACACAGGCGCCCCCACAGGCCTAACACACAGGCGCCCCCACAGGCCTAACACACAGGCGCCCCCACAGCCCTAACACACAGGCGCCCCCACAGGCCTAACACACAGGCGCCCCCACAGGCCTAACACACAGGCGCCCCCACAGGCCTAACACACAGGCGCCCCCACAGCCCTAACACACAGGCGCCCCCACAGGCCTAACACACAGGCGCCCCCACAGCCCTAACACACAGGCGCCCCCACAGGCCTAACACACAGGCGCCCCCACAGGCCTAACACACAGGCGCCCCCACAGGCCTAACACACAGGCGCCCCCACAGCCCTAACACACAGGCGCCCCCACAGGCCT